ACAGAGAAACTCCAATACCCATCACAGACCGTGACAGAGAAACTCCAATATCCATCACAGACCGTGACAGAGAAACTCCAATATCCATCACAGACCGTGACAGAGAAACTCCAATACCCATCACAGACCGTGACAGAGAAACTGTAGATTTGAAGCATCAAATAAACGGTCAGCTACAACTCTATCGTAAAGAAATGGAAGAAGACGTTGTCCATTTAATTCGTAACAATAGGTCCATCGTGTTTCACACTTTTAATACCGCAAGGGATTGCGCTAACAGCTTTTTTTTGGAATAATGCATTTTAATGCATTAAAATGAAATTCATTCATGAATAAAAATATTATGCAGTAACAACTAAAAGACAATACGCTTGCATCAGATTCATGTTGAATATGAAAGATAAAAATATAATAATGAATATTTTTAAATTTGACTGTTTTCAAAGATAAAACATTACTTGCAAAATATTTGAGAAGAATAAAGTAATTTATTTAGATGGAATATTTATTCTTATATTGGTAAATATTTACAGGACAATAACTATATAAACGAATGAAATTTGTGCCCCAAATTAATAATCAATTATTAGTATATTTTGTCATTTATGGGTCTTTTTGAATTTACATGATAAATAGAACATTTCTAAATCAAGTTAAGAATTATATTCTTTCATTTTTGTACACTTCTTATAGAATTATTCTATTAAAGTACAAGTCAAAAGATGTTAAATTTTTATCAATGGTGTCATTTTGTTTTCTTCTTTTTTTCTTTCTTTGTTTTTTTATTAAAAATAAATTAAAACCAAAACAATACAAATTTGTTTCAATTCAACACTATCATATGTCTACTAGCTTAATCCATATTAACTATACTCCTCTGTACTAATTATTGAAAATAATGCATTACATCACATTGAAATACGTTAAAACACATTAAATCCCATTAAAATAAGTTAAAACGCATTATATCACATTATAACAAAAGATGCAAAAATCAGAATGTTAATTATTTTTTCTCGATATATCCTTCTCTTAATTATAAGTAATGAGCAAATGATATGTGTAAAGACATTTTTTTCTTTCCTTTCCTTCTCGTTCTTTTCTCATTCAATTCCTTACACATACGAGATAACCATTCATTTTCTTTTCATTCTGTTCATTCAATATACATGACGGACGTTCATTATATATGTAAATAATTATCACAATTCCATAAGTGTAAAGACAGTTAATTTGAAATAATTCAATCATCAGTAGCAATAAGAGTTTTGTAAATTTTTTTCTTGAAGATAAACTGCTGTAGGAAATTTTGCATTATTTTGCGTTTAGAAAACAATTTATATACATATATATGCAGCAAACGGAAAGAACAGATATTCATTTTATTTCTTTTTTAGATTTCAAAAAATTCTGATCTTTAAAGAAAAAAAACTACTTAAATTGAAGAATACTAAAGTTAAAAAAATATCAAACTTATAACAAAATTAAAAATTGAAAAAGTGAAATTTATCTATTGATCTTTAATTAAAATAGCAAGTAAGTAATGTGAATTTCTAATCATTATTTTCAATATTTGCTTTTTTAGATTTTCTCTTGGGCTAATTAGTTCTACATTTATTACATTAAATTTGCTAATTCTTTTATTCTTTTGTCTATTAAATTTTTACTGGGAGTGAGTATTCAAATTTTTGTTATTGTTGACATAATGCTTTTACAATTAACCTTCAATTAAGCAATATATTGACAAATAAGCAGCTAGTAGATGTGTATCGAGTTGTGATTCAATTTTTTTATCGACATGTTATCTTATATGAATGATGAATTTAAATTTCCTATTTTTAGATATGCCATCGAGTAAACTTGATCCATATGCAGCACAAATCAGTACCAATATTTTCAAGCTGACGAATACAACACCAATTCCATTCGAAATCACATCAATTTTTAGTTCATTCGATCAAGTAGCATTACTTCGTTTTTTCGAACAACATCAAACATTAGGAGTTGATATTGCTCCATTCGTATTTGGTATGCTAGTACATGCAGCGGTAATGCTTGATGAAGTGGAACTTTACAATCCTGACCATACTGGCAGTATTACATCAATGAATTTATTTATTAATTTAATTGGTGAATCTGGTAAGTTTCTTTAATTTTTTTCATACGTTTCTTTAAATAAGTATTCTTTTATTTAGGCACCAATAAATCTGGATTATTTCGAGTCTTTAACAACAGCATCAATGCGTTACAAAAGATATTTCCTTCATTTTTTTCGAAGCCTGTTGTGGAGATTACTAATGAAAAAGAAATATTGACTACAAGTGATTTAATAGCAAACAATGAGACCGAATTATCATTATTTCAACGACTCTCGAAACGAGTAAGTTATTCATGTGAAAATTATTTTAGTACAGAATTGATCATGAAGCTCTTGAGATTTATTTTGTTAGAATTATTTCTATATGTGGTCGAAATATTCACTTTGTAGATGGTATATATTTAAATTTTTTTATATTTTGATTTTAGGAGAATGTATTTATTTCAAGTGATGAACTTGATGTTATTAATACTCGATTTGGAGTTTATCAAGGTGGCTCAACGGACAATGATATGAAAACAATTGCTTCCAAACTTTTATGTCAAGGTTATGATATTATGAAGAATGTTTCTCGTACAACTGGATCTTCATCATATTTTATTAAACGTGGCTCCATCAATATTTTTGGAGCTTCAACAGGAAACATGTTATCATCTGTATGTCGACAATATAACAGTAATACTACATCTGATGGTACCATCAGTCGATACTTATTTATCACAACATCTGTTCACAAAACTTCAAATGATATACCATCCGAAATTTTATCTGTACAACCAAACATCGTACATGTTTTAGTTGTACTTCGTCTATTGGCACAATACAAGCCTATTTTTGTATTTGGTGAACATCAATCACCACCTAATTTACCAAAATTAAGTAACTTTCTTTATTATTCGTGTGTATCTGATTGTTAAATGAGTGACATACAAGATTTTACTATAGATTTTGAGTAATCTAAGGAAACCATTTGACATCCTTCTCATACTGCTATGCTAATTGATACATTGAGTTTCGATAGTGACGACTAATCATCCAATATGTAGCACATACTCACTATTTAATTTATCTGAAAAACATAGAATTTGGGATTGTTTTTCATGATGTTTTTATTTCGCATTCATATTTACACTTTTTTCTCTTTCTAGTTATTGTTCCACCAGATATTGAAGAAGCAAGAAAAAATATTTCGAATCCAATTTCACCAACTGAACCAATATCAAACTTGAAGCCAAAAGTGATTGTTAACATTAAAGAAGCTGATAAAGAACAAGATGGATCAATCATCTCTGCTTACAATGCTATTCGTCGTGTTATGGAAGCTGAACATCAAAAATCTTTACAATGTGATGCCAAGGGAAGTCCAATTTATACACCTTTACAACGAGCATTTCAACGAAAGAGTAGCAACAAATTAGCTCGTTTAGCTGGATTATGTCAAGCAATATCATATGCCATTCAGTTATGTTCTGAATGTGTTAATATCGTTCGATTTGGTGATGGTCTTTATCTTAAAGAATATATTGATGATGAACAAATTAATTGGTTAATGAGATTTCATGATAATGTTAAAGTACTTATTGAACGAGATATTGCAATGGCTCCTAAATATGGAACTGATCAACGTCCATTAATTGTTATTGAAAAAGCAGCTGTACATGCTTCAAACATGTTATATCAATATAATTCATCTACAATTTCGGCTCTTTTCGATGGTACAGCAATTGATAATTATGAAACAACAAAAAATAACAATAACATTTCGATTAACAATGGATTATCAAACAAGTAAGTTCCGTCTAATTTAGGTTTTATAAATTGTAATACTAATAAAACGAGTAGTATGTTGCCGTAAACATTTCAAAAATTGTTTAAGAATATTGATAGAAACGTTTATTTCTTTACAGTTTAGTCTTTCTACGAAAACGCTTTTTTTAAATTGAGTTTTACGATACCCTTGTAGTTCAGAAACATTTTAATAAGAGTTAATTTGTCTTCAGTATCATTTGTTACAGTAAATTGAGAAATCTAAAATGGATATTCGTCACTGTTTTATATTTTATTCAGTAATAATATTCGTTTCGTTATATTTTTTACAAGAAAATTTTTATGTAAATTCAAATTTTATTTTAGTGTTTATTATGAACATCATTCAATATTGCTCAAAATGACATCACCAATTCTTGTTAAAGCTTGGTTCAACAATGAAATTACTGGTCTTCCATTCACCAAAATATTTTGCAATTATCGAAAATCAAAAAGCAAAGTGTCAAAGCTTATTGAAACTATTGATGAATTAGTTCAACATGGTATTCTTAAAAAAGGTGTTAATGATAATCGACACGTTGTTGCTGCACGAAAAGAAACATATTTAAAAACATCACCAGTTACTATTCGTGCTAATAACCGAATGCTTGATTATCTTCAATCTATTGGCATCGACATTGATACTTATGAACATGCATATCTTTCATCACCATTACCAATGAATATGGAATTAACTACATTTGCAGTTAATTTAATTTTATCCGATGATGATTATATTGAATACTGTCATTTATTTAATGATGTTCATATACAAAATGAAATGGGAGAACGATTATCAAAACAGATGGTCGAATATCGAATGGTATTTGGTCAAAAGCAATATTATATTCCATCATTATCTCAAATTGTCGAAGAAGGTAAATTGGAAATTCTTTCTAAACAAATAAAATTGTTATTTAATTCAACCATTTCTTATATTTAGATAATTTAATTATTGAAAACAGTCAACGTTATGATGGTGATCAAACTCCAACTAATAATAATGATAACAATGATGATAATAGTGGTGATAATCAAAGTGATAATAATGATAATGCATTATCAACTTTACTTTTTGTATCACATCGATCAATTACTAATCCATCACCAAACACCATATCATCACGTTCTGCAAATTCATCTCTTTTTACTGAATTGTTGAATATGAATAATAATAATGAATCACAAAACAACAATGTTACCGATCAAATAACTGAATCTAATAATCGTCTTCAAAATGAAATTTTACCATCAGTTGATGATATTACATACCAAATGACCAATATGCTTGATTATGATGCAATAAATGTTGAACAATTAGGTAAGTCTACTTAATAAATTTTAATGTTTTATTTGAACAGCATATTGGTATTTACTTTTCAGATTCAACAACGAACACCAACAACAATAATCTTGACAATCCAACTTCGTCTTATCGAAACGAATCAACAACAAATAACCATGAACAAAATCAAAGTAAGATTGCACTTTTATATGCGAATAAATGCAAAATTGTTTTGTTATGTGTAGATCGATCAGTATTGGCCAATATTGAATTATTATATGGTAATAATAATAACAACAACGTTATTTTACCTACTGAATCAACATCCAATGATACAGCTACGGTTGTAGAAAATATGAGCTCTCAACAAACGTTGGAATTAATTTCCAGTTTGCTTCAAAATAAGAAACATTTATTAAAACGAATTATGGCCGAAGAAAATAATGATATTAGTCCAAAGCGATCAAGAAATAATGAAAATGAAGAAATAACATTACCAATTGTCGATATGAATTTAAGTGGATCACTTTCATCAACATCTGCTCAAACACAATCGAACAATACCACCGGTAAGTTGTAGTTCGTTAAATTCCAAGAAACTCTGAAATAAATAAATAATTACATAACAATGAACATTATCTTTTGAATGACGTTAATTTTAAATTATTGGTATTGTTTATTTGATAAATTGTTTATAATTTTTCTAGATGATAGTCAAATTACTGATAAAGATCTTCAAGAAGCTTACCAAAAAATTATCTTAAACGATGTTATTATTATGTCACAATCAGATATTTGCAACAAACTGAAACATATCAAAAACATATCAAAATCACGTGATAATATCATTTCAAAATTAGTTACCGATAAATTGTTAATTAAAGGTAATTGGTTTGCATCGAAAAAAGTGAATGGGAATATTGATCTTCTACCAGGATTTTTAAAAGCATTTCCGAAAAATAATCTGCAAGATCAACTTGATTTTGCTCGTTTACTAGCAAAATATAATGTACACTTTGATCAGTACGAGGGATCATTTAAAAAAAACAACATCGATACATTTCCTCGCACACTTATTGCTGCTGATGTCAAACATAAAACATGGTTATATTCAAATGTATTATCTGATTATATTCGAAAAAATGATTTTCTTAATGAACGAATATTACTTGATCCATCAGCAATTGCTCAAGAAAATAATAGTAAGTAATATTTTTGTTTATTTGATTAATTTTTAAAGTTTCTCTCTTATTTATAGGTCCACCTATGCATACAAAACGTGATCGGAAACCAAAACAACGTTTTTCACCATCCGACAACAAAAAATGAATTTATTGTTCGTTAATTTCAAGTACATATTTAGTCTGCTTTTTTGTTATTAAAACGATTGTACATTCGTTTTCTTCATTTTGTGTGTTTTACAAAACATGTGTGTTATTTATGAAGTAACTTTTTTGTGTGAAAATTCTTCTATTATTGTTATATAAACTCGATGTATTTTAACTGTTCTTCTGTATTATTGATACTATTTGTATAACGAAACTCGTAGTCTTTATTTATTGTATCTTTTATTGTTCAATTTTCCTTCTTTTTCACTTATACATTGGTGTGATTGGTTTGTATTTCTTTGTTTTATGTAGTAGACTATCTCTTTTACTTGATGAAACTGTAAAAAAGTGTGATAAGTTCGTATTTGAACATTAAAGTGCTGCATAAATAAATAAATAAAAGAAATTAATATTTTTTCGAAAGTTTCATTTTTTTAATATTAATGTTCATGTAGCTGATTTTGATGTCAACATACGTGTCAATATAGGAGATAACTCGATGTATATTATGATTATAACATACCTATCGATCATTCTGAGCTATACCAGTGTAATCTTGAATGTGCAAATGAAGACAAAAACTTGATTAAAATTAATTCTCATAGTAATATAGAAGAAAATTGATGAAACGTTTCATTATTTAATATAAATATGTCAAAATGAAAATTTCGAACTAATGATAATTATGTTTAATCGATGTTGTTTCATAGAATTTCAATGCATATTGTCAATCGATCTATGAGTTATAAAGTGATA